TTTGTCTTTTTCATTTCGTGTTCTATCTACGCTTTCGACTATACCAGTAAGCTTGTAGAACGACGCACATTGTAGAACGACGCACACACTTGCCTCGAATCTCTCCAGCAGAAAAAGCATACGAAGTCAAGTGTGAGTGGAAATGAGCGCTTCTTGTTTGCTTTTAGGCTATCCAATTCAGAAGCATGGAGAGAGCAGTGGAGAAAGAACAGGTCTGATAATCACAACGTTCGTGGTTCGAGTCCCAGTCGGCAACCTTTTTCCAATTTTTTTCGACATAATTCATTTCACTCACTAATACACTCCCCATTTTTCGGTCTCCAATTCTCTTGCATTGGACCGCAGCTAGGTATATTGCATCCTTGGTTCATGCGGTCTCCACTTACATCCTCTGATGATGAATCCCACATAATTGTAAGCGAATCTTACATCCACCGGTTGGGTGTACCATGTAGTCATGTTAAAAAATAAAACGATTGACGAATCTTGAATGTGGATGGGCTTGAGATTAGATGAGACATGATGTTCTGCTCAGTAAGCAAAACCGATTGTGCTAAGGCCACCGAGCCTCTCATATCACATTATAGCGTTACTCAAGTTTTTATGACTATTCAGACCCGGCACCGACGACAACGAAAAGTTTTACAAAATACACGATAAACAAGCGATCTAACCTAGGGGCAAGACGGCTGCACTCAGAGTTAATATTTTCACAGCGAGCAAATTTGAGAAGCTCATAATTACTCAAAAGTGATCAAAGTAGTCTCACATACGTCAAAAAAATTAAAATTAAATCATTATAAACGAACATAAGCTGTCAGGGTAATCATTTATTTTAGTTTTGTATTTTTACAACAAATCCATGTGTATGCATTGCAATCCATGCAATAATCCATGTGTATTTCTTTTCAGCATGAATTACTCTTATAAGCATAGTCTCAGAACAATAGTAGGACAACACAAATGAAAAATCAGGAGAAGATATTTTCGAAATGATCCGGAGAAGGCCTGGTATAAAAAACTAGTTCGTATTTGGTGTGCTTTATGACTGGTTGCCTTAAGTTTTCGGCAAAGGGTGTGTTCTTTCAATTATTAATTTCAACATCTTATTACCTTCACACTACTAATCCGAAGTCGTAAGTTAGCTGCGATTCGAAGTGAACATGAACATGTTGAGTGAACAAGTGATATATTTATTCCAGTAGAAACTAAGAGGAAAGGTTTTATTTTAAATAAACTTCTTTGATATTACCCTCCGAAATCGCGAGTGAATTGTGATGGTACGGTGCATTTGCGTGAGAAGAGATAAAGAACTATCAGTAAAATCTTCGATCAGTTTTTTATCGAACCGACAATACAGTCTTTGAATAAAAAAATCGTAGTCTTTGGGGATTATTCCGAGAGTCAAAGTGACTTTTTTCACTAGTGAAGTGAGAAAAGTCATGCCGTGGTGATGTGACTTTTTTGTGTAAATCAAATGGAGAATCGCGTCACAACGACGTGAATTTAATCACTTCACCAGTGAGAAAATTCACTTTAACTCTCGGAATAACCCCCTTTGACGCATCATGAAGTGAAACCACCGACGAGCCGACATGCTACTGACTGGAGCATTTCGTTTGTCTGCAATTCGATTTGTCAAATGAGCGGTTCAATCTATGAATCGAGTGATCAGATCTGTCAAACGAGGTGAGACGCAAACCAACTCTTTGTATATTTTACGTGTGTACGTGTCCTTGCTTACGATATGACGCGAACGGAGGGGTAGATGGCGGTAGTGTTTAACGTATTTTAAATATGCCGTCTTGGGTAAGAATTTGAGTATGGCTTCTATGAGCTGTCACGTCGGTTCGTCGGTGGTGATACTTTTTAGCGGCGCAGGAACATCTATAATCTTTTTCGTGTCTATGCAATCTGCCAAAATGTTTGCAATGGAGTGCTAAATAACTGTTTTCAATAATGTTTGTATCATCATTAAGATAAATTGTGTCCCTACTCCATGCTAACTAGAAAATCCTTCTATTATAATCGCCATCCAATGATAAGATTTTCCTCGTCAAACATCTTTGCTTGACAATTGTGGAATGCATTCAAAACAAAACAGGTTGCTATGTCACCTTGACATTGAATATTGAGCAGCTCGAGTTACTCAGAGTTACTCAAAATATACTCCTATTTTACTCATTAGCAAAAGCTGTCTTACCCCTAGGATCTAACCATACATTTTTAATATGAAAGGATCTGGGACCGCGTTTTTCTGCTCAGTAAGCAAGCCACTGCAACCAACGATCTTTGAAATCCTTAAACTAAAAGCTACGAAAGAGGCCTTTATTAAGATCCATTTTCACGCGACGATAAATGTTTCGATTTTCTCTTTACGCATGGTTCAGGTAATCATAACAAGCTATGACCGACGTGACGATTGTTTAAGACCTAGTTGAACAAGCTATTCAAATGAAATTACGTTCTCGAATTTTACTTGGCATGTAATGAACAACAGAAATACGCGATAATTCATATTTTCAGCGGTTGGTGGTTAATTTTAAATATACTAACGGTACTGCCTACGACTACGACGGCGATTACGACAGCGACTACGACGGCGCCTACGAAAACGACAACAGCGAATTTGTAACTTACTATTTGTCTTGGATAAACACCTTTGCCCGGCACCTCCACTGGTTCTTCATGTCCGCTATCTGTCACTGTTTGCAAAATATCTAATAGCAATTACCTTCCAATACCAATACTACCTGTATTGCCATGGTCATCTGGGAGGAGGGTCGCATCTTGTGTTTTCCCCAGGAACCGTTCACGGCCACCAGCTACTGCCCGTCCAGTCTTGGGCGTATCCAGCGAGGCATCCTTCAGATTACTTAAATCTCCGACACTCAATGCAAATCGCAGGCACACTTTTGCTAGTTACAAAAAAAAAAAACACCCGTGTAAAGAAACGGATCAAATAAACGTCCTGGAGTAGGTTTTGTCATTACCTTGTGAGGAAAAACTATTAAAATATCTTAGAGACACTGGTCTCTACGAAGAAATATAAATGTAGAAATGTGTAAATGAAATGTTAAAATTTAATTTACTGAAGGGATTAACGGTTAAAATCCCTCAAAATAAATAAACAACAAACAACGTAGAGGGCATTCTTGTCACTAACTTTGGAAGCAACGGAGACCAAATAGCAGCAGTAGCAGGAGCAGCAGCAGTAATAAAACAGCAGTACTGGAACCAGCCCAACAAACATTGCAAGCTGAATAAGAGCCTATTTATTCATAGCATGCATAGGTTATTCAGATTTTAATCAGCTGAAATTGATTGTTGGGAGATCAGCCGATACTCTTGTAGCCGTGACCGAGGCTGGAAACCTCGATCTGGTCACGACAATAGCCAGTCAAACCGTGATACACACTAAAAATTAAATGAGGAAACGGTTAGATAATTCTGTCTCATTCAAGATTATCGATGAATAGCGGATGAAATCGGATGATATGGGCAAGTGCGTATTATCATTATTTACGAATCAAAGAAGTCCACAAAAATCGAATTTTTGAAGAAAATTTGATTGAAATCCGTTAAATGAAATGTAGAATGGATTACTTTTGTCCCCCTCACGCCCATCATATTTTGAAGGAAATCTTCAGAATCGTTATCAATCTTCTTTCTATCTACTCAGCGTGCACGCAGCTAATCACACGCTATTTTAAAACTACCCAAATTTCGGTACAATCCACCCAGATCGGTCAAAACTGAACCTTCCCAAAAATGGGTAAACTATGTTGGGAGTGACAAGTTGACAAATTGACAACAGCGACATGAATCCGATCAACTTTGTTCATTTTTAATTGCACCGTATAGATAGCCATATGATTAATATGTTCATTTATGATAAACATGGTTATTTGTTTTGAGCTTGCTTTAGTGAACCTTCTAACTGGACGGATCTTGATGCAGTCCTTTTGCAACCCCTCTTTCTCTCTCTTTCTTATAGATTGACAAGAAGTGCTCACACACACTAGTCTATTTTGGCCCGCAATCTCTTCCACTGTTGATCACAAAACTCTCCCACTCTCTTTTCTTAAGGTCAAACGCTAAGGAAGCCATATTTCCGATAGTAGCTACTTTCATTTCGCATCATCAAGAGCATGATTATCAGTTTTCTCGAAACATACAGCTCTGAAATCGCTAACCCCACGTATGTAGTTGATCAGTTAACATTAAGAAAACCATTTCATACACGGCGACATCGGATATTCCAGGAATTATGCCATGCCAAATTGGAAGCCATTTGTGGACTCTAACTCGTATGGTCTTAAGCTAGGGTTAGAACATTCTTTCCGGCGTTCAACTCACTTAAACTACGAATTGAACTGAACAGAAAGTTGATCGATGTCCAACTCTTCCTGTCCGCTGTCAAAGAATTTGAACGTCGACCACTGGATCGGGGTGGAGAATACAATCATTTCACTTCGAACGGCGTGAGTACGCATTAAGAGCCCCGGCAGTTTTATTCTCGCTCGCTTTCTCTCTCCTCCTCGCATCACTACTCTCCCAATTCCAATAGCAAAACCGACGATTCTGATTCTTGTCGCAACATACACATATGCGCATACGACTTGTGCTTCGCACTGGGTTTCCGGTACTTATTTATATATGTTGAATTGAATACTCGGCTCAATACCAACTAAGAAGAAATGTGTGTGTGCAATATGCTGGAATGTTTGGTATTCGCTGAGTTGCACTCTTTTCTCATGCAGTTCCTTGGCTACTAAACACAGCGATGCCCATACGATCTCAAAAACTAAAAACACAATTTAGTCAAAACAAAAATTTACGATCCACGGAATGTTTTCCTCTTGAGGATCCAGTTGTTCAGGGCTCGGTTTTTTCAGTTTATTTCGAAAAATCATTATTGGCAACCCTGACTATGATCACGTAGAGAGACAGAGACGCGCGTTGGTAGCATTTGAACCGCCACTGGTATGAATGTGTTTTATACCTGACAACAGTACATATAAGCTGACGAGTGTGTACATACTCCTGTTACCAACAGTTGATAATCCATCAAAACAAGTGCTGCCCGTATGTTGAGCGAGTTTAAATCGACAGCAATCACGTTTATTGGTTCATATAGTGTTCAATCTGTGCTGTGCGCGAGTGGTGAAAATGGCGATCATTCGGTTCTTCTGTCCAGTCGAAGATGAAAAACGGCAGTATCTTCTGCACAACTTCCAAAAAGTCAACGCGCGTGTTATCAACCTACGAGTGGAGAAGTGCTATCACGTCCAGAACTCCAAGTACGGCAAGTTCCCAAGGGAAGTCGAGAAATTGCTGCGATGGATTTTGAAGGGCCCGCAACAGGAAGACAACTTGACGATGGTTCCAGCATTGTCGAAAGGGAAAGTGAACGAAGAGTTGATTGAAATCGGACCGAGATTTAATTTTTCCACAGCTGATTCCACCAACAGTGTGAGCATCTGTCAAAATGTTGGTCTTACGTTTATCGATCGTATCGAGGTGTCATACCGGTATCTTCTTACCTTTGACTTGCCCGGTACCAAGGACGAGGAAATCTCGCAGCTTATGGATGTGGTATGTGACCGCATGACTCAATGTAGATACACCAAAGACAACATACCTCAGAAAGATTTCTACGAGAGTTTTAAGCAAAGCAACGAAAAGTGGTACGTTGTTCCCGTTATCGAACGAGGTGCAGAGGCGCTAAGGGAAGTTGATAAACTGCTAGGGCTGGCCTTTGACGAATGGGACATAAAATACTACACTGATCTATTTACAAAAGTGCTCAAGCGAAACCCAACTAATGTGGAACTGTTTGATTGTGCGCAGTGTAATAGTGAGCATTCCCGGCATTGGTTTTTCAAAGGAAAAATGATAATTGATGGGGTGGAGGAAAAGCAGTCACTAATTGATATGATAATTGATACGCAAAAGTTTTCCAATCAGAACAATACTGTGAAGTTCAGTGATAACAGTAGTGCTATCAAAGGATTTTCCCATCAAGCCTTGAGAGCAAGCAGCTTCATTGAACCGGGACGACTGGAGCTCAAGTCCATTAGCTCTGATCTTATATTGACAGCTGAAACGCACAACATGCCTACAGCGTTATCTCCGTTTAGTGGTGCAACAACAGGAACCGGTGGCAGACTTCGCGATGTTCAAAGTATCGGTCGTGGTGGATTACCAATTTGCGGCACTGTTGGCTACTGCGTAGGAATGCTGAACATCCCCGGTTATGAGTTACCATATGAACGGCATCTTGAATATCCACCATCCTTTGCAAAACCCTTGAAAATTCTAATCGAAGCCAGCAACGGAGCATCGGACTATGGAAACAAGTTCGGTGAACCTGTCGTGTCGGGATTTACTATTTCCTTCGGGGTAGTTACGAATGACAATCAACGTTTGGAATACGTGAAGCCGATTCTGTTCAGTGGTGGAATCGGGACGATGGATTCCAACCTGAAAGATAAAGTGAAACCCGAAAAGGGAATGCTGTTAGTCAAACTTGGTGGACCGGTTTATAGGATTGGAGTTGGAGGCGGTGCCGCCAGTTCGGTGGAAGTGCAGGGAGATAACGATAGCGAACTGGATTTCAATGCCGTGCAACGTGGAGATGCGGAGATGGAGAATAAGCTGAATCGGGTGGTTCGGGCTTGCATCGAAATGGGAGACCAGAATCCAATTCTGGCCATACATGACCAAGGAGCCGGTGGAAATGGAAACGTGCTGAAAGAGTTGGTTGAGCCGGGATATGCGGGAGCCGTTATATTTTCCAAGGAGTTTACTTTGGGTGATCCTACGATAACGACCATGGAGCTCTGGGGAGCAGAATATCAGGAAAATAATGCAGCCTTAATCGACCCGAAACACAAGCAACTCCTGTTGGATGTTTGCGAACGAGAGAGATGTCCAGTCAGCTTCGTGGGACATGTTACTGGCAACGGGTTTGTCACACTGGTGGACGAGAACTACGATCCCCGTAAGTATTCCAATAGGAATGATCGCGAAAGCTGGGGAAGTTTGCCGTTTGACATGCATTTGGACAACGTTTTGGGTGAAATGCCTCGGAAGGAGTTCCAACTGGAACGCAAATCAATTAAGCTAAGCGAATTTGACACGAGAAATGTTAGCCTTACGGAAGCACTGAACCTAGTTCTATCAACCATCACCGTGGGAAGTAAGCGTTACTTGACCAACAAGGTAGATCGGTGCGTTACCGGTTTAGTGGCACAGCAGCAATGTGTTGGACCGCTCCATACCCCACTGGCGGACTACTCCATATGTGCAGTGTCCCATTTCGGGTTTGAAGGAATAGCCTCTTCCATCGGAACTCAACCTGTAAAAGGTCTCCTGGACAACGCGGCCGGTGCCCGTCTCTCCGTAGCGGAAGCTATGTCGAATTTAGTGTTTGCCGGTATCACTCAACTGGCCGATGTGAAATGCTCCGGCAATTGGATGTGGGCAGCAAAACTGAACGGCGAAGGTGCAAAACTCGTTGATGCGTGCAAAGCCATGTGCGAATTGATGAAAAAGTTGAACATTGCAATCGACGGCGGTAAGGATTCGCTCTCCATGGCAGCTCGTGTGAAAAATGAAACAGTCAAAAGCCCTGGAACTCTTGTCATTTCTACCTATGCACCGTGTCCTGATATTCGGGTGAAAGTCACTCCCGATCTGAAAGCTGCTTCGATGGGTCGAGAAACCACTTTGGTATTCGTATCAATTGAAACCCAATTCAGGCTGGGCGGTTCAGTACTGGCTCAGTGCTATGGACAACTGGGCTTGCACACACCGGATATAGATAGAGCAGACATCCTGGTGCAGGCATTCAACACTACTCAATCGCTGCTAAAATCGAAGAAGCTGCTATCTGGTCACGATGTTAGCGATGGTGGACTGCTGGTTTGTGCGCTGGAAATGGCTTTTGCTGGATTGGCTGGCATTCGAATTGATCTGACCGAGGTGTACAATAAGTTTGGTAAGCAGTTCGGAGGCATTGAACAGGCGGCAAACCATATTCTTTTCGCTGAAGAATGCGGCTGGATCGTCGAGATAGATTCCAACAACGTCGCCGGTGTAATCGAAACCTATCAATCTGCTGGCGTGCCATGTTTCATCATTGGCAATGCCTACAAAACAGATGTCCATCAAAATGGATCAGTTTCAGTTACTATAAACGGCCAACAGGTGCTGAAAACTAGCGTCATCAACCTGTTCAAGCAATGGGAAAGAACTAGTTTCGAGATTGAAAAGCTACAAGCCAACGAACAATGTGCCGTACAAGAATTCGAATCATTGGAGTACAGGTGCGGACCTAGCTACAGTTGCAGCATAGATCCGGATTTGCTCTATTCCACGAAGAAGCTTGGCACGCAGCCGAGAGTAGCTGTCATCCGCGAGGAAGGCTCCAACGGTGATCGTGAAATGTGTGCCGCCCTATTCGAAGCAAACTTCGAAGTGCACGATGTCACCATGAGCGATTTGCTGACTGGGAGAACCTGTCTGGACAACTACCGTGGTGTGGTCTTCCCGGGTGGTTTCAGCTATGCCGATACTCTGGGATCGGCCAAAGGCTGGGCAGCATCCATATTATACAACGAAGTCTTGTCACCTCAGTTTCAACACTTTAGATCCAGAAACGATACATTCTCTCTTGGTGTATGTAACGGCTGCCAGCTCATGGGACTGATTGGTTGGGTCTCCACAGAACCACCAGCAAAGGACTCCGATCTTCCAGACATTGCACTTCTGCAAAACACATCCAATCGATTCGAATGCCGCTGGAGTACCTTGAAAATAGCGGGAAACAACTCTATCATGCTTCGTAAGCTGCAGGGTAGCGTCATTGGGTGCTGGGTGGCCCATGGTGAAGGACGTTTTTCATTCAGAACGAAACAAGTGCTGCAACAACTGAAGAAGAATAAATGCATTGCCATGCATTATGTTGACGATCAGAACGAACCGACCGAGACGTACCCGATGAATCCAAATGGCAGCGTTGGAGGTGTTGCCGGGGTTTGTTCGCCGGACGGGAGACACCTTGCTGTTATGCCGCATCCCGAACGATGTGCCAAGATGTGGCAGTGGCCGTACGTTTCCAGTGGATTCGAGTTTCGCACATCTCCCTGGCATTCCATGTTTGCTGAAGCCTATAACTGGTGTGTAGGTGAATAACATTCCTTGTGCCTTCAACATTGTTCAAATTTAGAGAATAAAAAGTTTTAAAACATTTTAAGCATGTTGTAGCTCAATTCATTCTTGAAGAATCCCAATTGGAAGATTGAGGCATTCAAATGCAAGGTTAGTATTGTAAATAAAAAAAAAATCATTGAGATGATGACATTTTTTAAAGTTAAATATCAATGCCTACTATCCTCAAAAAAGCTCGTAAATTGTATTATGGTCTTTAGGTACCGTTTAGAACCATCATAAACGTGTGTATTAATGAACAGTCCGGTATTCGGTGTATTACGCTACGAAGAAAAATCTTCGGATAATCCAAACAACCGAGTGCCCACGGCTACTGAAATCAACCCAAATTTGAGTTCAGTTTACTCATAATCATAAAAAGTGCAGCAGCTCAGCGATGAGTAAATTGGCCTCATGTTTTCGTGTGAAAACCCTTACAAATCTGCCGGAAAATGAGGAAAATTGACGAAAGTTTTACTCAGTCTAGGAGTAGTACCAATAGACTGAGAGAATCCAATCTTTGCTTTTCTCATATTCGGGAATGTTGCCTGGAAAAACATGAGGCAAATTTACTCATCGCTGAGTTCCTGCACTTTTTGTGATTTATGAGTAAACTGGACTCAAATTTGGGTTGATCTCATTGGCCGTGCAGAGAAGCATTCGACTATGAGCCGGGAAACTATCTCTACTCTAATAGGATTTCTCATTTATGTGTATGTAAAATAAAAGTAAAAAAAATTCCCTCATTACCATTCTTACGTAAAACCGCAAACAAAAATAGCCCACTGGCAAAGGCAAAGAGGTAGCCTAATAGCACTGTTAGAATCATTATAGGTAGGTCGTATGAATGCGCTTTATTTGTTCTAAGAAGTTTCAGTCTAAATCTACCTGTAAAGGTAATTAGAAATCTGACGCGAGCCTCTTCGACTGGGGCCCAGCTAAAATGAAAGAAATCCACCAGAACATTCTATCTTCTTCTTTTCAAATAATTCTTGGAACTGAAACAAGCTGGGACGAAAGCGTCAGAAGCGAAGAAATTTTTGGAAACAATTTTAATGTATTCCGGCACGACAGGAATTTTCAACTCTGTAATAAAAAGTCTGGTGGTGGAGTGCTCATTGCCATCAATGCTGATTTTACTTCTGAAGAAATCATAACAAATAAGCACAAGGAATTCGAAAATGTCTGGGTCAAAGCACTTATTGCCGGTGAAATACACATTTTTTCTTCTGTGTATTTTCCACCTAAACATGCCCACAAGCAGTCTTTTGAACTATTTTTTCAAATTGTTGAAACTATAATGTCAAATATGGAACCAGAAGTAAAACTGCATATTTATGGCGACTTCAATCAACGAAACGCAGACTTTATTACAGACATTGAAAATGAATCATTTTTACTCCCGGTCGTAGGTGAAGACGAAGCATTACAATTATTATTCGACAAAATATCTTATTTTGGCCTTAATCAAATAAACCATGTAAAAAATCAACAAAACTCATATTTAGACCTTTTATTTACAAATTGTACTGAAGACTTCTGTGTGGATACATCATTAGCACCTTTATGGAAAAATGAAGTGTTTCACACAGCAATTGAATACTCAATCTTCGTACAAAATTCTTCTTCCTCCAGCGACTGGGAATACGAGGAAGTGCCGGAATACTGTAAAGCAAATTACGAAGAAGCCAAACGTAGACTATGTACAATAAATTGGCAAAATTTAATAAGTATTGAAGGAAATGTCGATACTGAAGTAGAAAAATTTCACTTAATTCTACAAAACCTAATCTTAGAAACTGTACCATCAAAAAAAGAAGACGAACACAAAACAATAAACTACCCGCATGGTTCAATCCACAACTGAAAAATTTGAAGAATAAAAAACAGAAAGCTCATAAACTATACAAAAAAGAAAAAACTGAAACCAATTTGCGAAACTATCACAACTTATGCAACCAATTACATACAGCCACCAACTCTGCATATGAGGACTATAACCGCAAAGTCGAAAATGAAGTCAAATCATGTCCTAAGAACTTTTTTAATTATGTAAACACGAAATTAAAAAGCAGCAATTTTCCTTCACGAATGAATTTGGATGCAAATGTAGGTGAGAATTCTTCTGAAATTTGCAGTCTCTTTGCAAATTTCTTCCAAGAAGTATACACCACATTTTCCGAAGAAGATCGTGACCGCGATTTCTTTGCATTCATTCCTGAAATTTCTAAAAACATCTCTGTCAACCAACTTTCTCAACATGAAGTCCTCAATGCACTAAAAAACTTAAACGCGTCGAAAGGGTCTGGACCTGACGGCATCGCACCCATATTTTTGAAAAACCTTTCTGAAGAACTCGCATTTCCTCTAGAGCGTCTTTTCAACATGTCTCTGAAAAATGGAAAATTCCCTGAAATTTGGAAATCATCTTATTTGGTACCTATTTTCAAATCAGGTGCAAAATCAGACATTCGAAATTATCGTGGAATTGCTATTATTTCTTGCATTCCAAAACTTTTTGAATCAATCGTAAACGGCAATATTTTTCAGCAGGTGAAAAATCTAATTACAAGTAAACAGCACGGCTTTTTTAAAGGTCGTTCAACTACCTCTAATCTTCTAGAATATGTATCTTTCATTATTAAAGCGTTGGACAGTGGCAAGCACGTTGAAGCGCTATACACCGACTTCAGTAAAGCATTTGACCGCATCGACATACCATTATTAATCCTCAAATTGCAGAAAATAGGAATGGAGCCTGGACTTTTGAATTGGCTTCAATCATACCTAACACATCGTAAACAAATAGTTCGCTTTCAAAATAAACTTTCAGAACCAATTTCAGTCACCTCTGGGGTACCCCAGGGTTCTCATTTAGGCCCACTTCTTTTTATTTTGTACATAAACGACATTTCCTACATACTTAAAAAAATAAAATTGCTTGTATATGCAGACGACATGAAGCTCTTTATGGAAATAAGTAATTCTAGCGATGCAGAAGAATTCCAGAATGAAATCAATATATTCCACACCTGGTGTGGTAAAAGTCTATTTAAACTGAACGTAAAAAAATGTACTGCAATAGCATTTAGCAGAAAAATTGAAACACCGCATATTGAAATATCATTAGGCAACCAAATAGTAGAAAAAAGCAAAATTGTAAGAGATCTAGGTGTAATCCTAGACTCCAAACTAACTTTTATAGAACATTATAATACTATCATTAGTAAAGCAAACAGAATGCTAGGCTTCATCAAAAGGTTCAGTCATAATTTCGAAGACCCATACACTATTAAGCTTTTATATACCACATATGTAAGGCCAATTCTGGAATACTGCCACCTAGTATGGAATCCATACATTTCCATACACGAAGAACGCATAGAATCTGTCCAAAAACAATTCCTTTTATATGCTTTACGTAAATTGAATTGGACTGCATTTCCATTACCATCTTATGAAGCGCGCTGCATGCTCATCAATATACAAACACTTAAGGAGCGCCGCCAATTTGCAATGCTTTTCTTCATCAACGACATTATTTCAATGCGCATAGATTCGGCAGAAATTCTCGCACAATTAAATTTTTACACACCTTGTCGATATCTTAGAACACGGAATTTATTTTCAGAAACATCGTACAGTACAAACTATGCAAAAAATAGCCCAATCAATCGAATGATGCGCCTATATAATTTGCATTGCGGAACTATTGACATCACTATGTCCAAGCAGCAAATACAAACTAAGCTAAAACAGAATAGAATTAATGCATAGTATGTAAGTAAACATTGTAATAATCATTGTATGTAGTCTACACTGGCTTGACGAAATGGAAATAAATAAATGAAACTTTGCATTGATTTTCTACATATAGGGGAAATGGATGCAATGTCGACCTAAATGCCCCTATTTTGGGCCCATACATAAATTCAGCAATCGACTAAATTTTCAATAGCGACCAAATCCAATATCCATTTTTGGTCACTTTCATCCATTTTTTCTTCAACTCCAGCTCGTTCTTAAACACCTTGGATGATTTTCGAACTTTGGCCTTCATTATGGCCCAAAATCTTTCCACCGGACGAATCTCGGGTGAATTCGGGGGGTTGGCGGTTTTTGGTACAAAAACAACGTTATTGTCTCTGTACCAATCCAACGTCGATCGCGCGTAATGGCATGATGACAGGTCCATCCAAAATAATGCCACGCCTTCGTGGGACCGCAGGAAGGGCAACAGACGTTTCTGGAGGGACTCGGTGCGGTAAATTTCTCTGTTGATGGTACCCATTGTGATGTACGGTTTACTCAGTTTACCGCATTGGCATATGGCCTGCCAGAGCAAGTATTTTTTGGCGAATTTGTCCACTTTCTTCTTCCTTATGTCCTCCGGAACATCAAACCGTGCTTTGCGTATGCCTTGATGTAGGTTTCGTCATCCATAACCACACACATCGGTTTCGTTAACCACTCTCGATACAGCTTCCTTGCGCGGGATTTGGCCGCCGTGTTTTGTTGATCACGCCGGTTCGGTGCCTTCCGGACCTTGAATACACGAAGCCCAGCTCGTTTGATGGTTTGCTGAATGAACCAGGTGGAACACTTTGCCTTCAGAGCCGCGTCCCGAATTGAAAGGTTCGGATTACGCTTGAAATAATCCAACACCTTCCGTGCCGTCACAGGGACAGCTGTCTTCGATTTTCTTCCACTTCCTGCCCGCCACTTGGTCGTCTGGGACGCCTTAAACGATTTTACCACCCGAGACACAGTTGTATGGGTGATTCCCGGTTGTCTTCCGATCCATCTCATGGTCGCAGTCGGATTTTTCATGACGGCGCGCAAAATTCTCCGGCGATTTTCTTCTTGTTTCGATGACATCTCAATAACCACTGAACCGATTGTTATGAAATTTTGCACATGTAAACAATTCACTCTAAACTAGTTATACCCAGATCTTCATCAATTTTTACTCACAGATAAAAAAGTTACACACGGATAAAAATGGTGCATTTTTTTTTCGAGTACAAGCCTTAGATTTAGTGGCAA